TAATATCCAATACTGTCAACTATGAATAGCCTAAAAGATAATCTTTACATTCAGCAGGTAGGTTGGTCGCAGTTTAAAAGGTTTCCCTTAGTCAGAGGGCGCTGGAAATGATTAGTCTCTTGGAAGGCTCTTACAACATTCTTCTATGTCGTCATTAAGCGGTTGACTGCTCATATCACATATAACAAATTGTAGTTAAACTTATATTTGACAGGTCATTCGTATAATCTGATGACCACTAATGTAACGAACACTATTGGAATGGGACAGTCACAGTTGGCCGCCATCCATTAATTCCTCGCGCGTTCCTTGTCGGAACATTCACACCCCTTTCTGACCTTTAATTAACTGTCGAATTAACCTAGACTATTGTGTGTGTTTGACCAATAGGTTTATTCGTAGTTCTACGTAAATCTATAAAATGTTATCTCATTCTATGAATACATAGTGGTTTTTACGTTCTGTAACTCTTGGAAGAATTTAATATTCACACCGTTTTCATTAGCAAAAGGCAGAATAAAAATCACGTTTGTGTTGATTTCAGTTCAATCTGATGTGAAGATTTTACTCTAAAATTAAACGTAGGTAAGTTCTTACTTAGGTGATCATCTTAACTTATAGGTTTCATCCTCCCAAGATGTTCCTCCTTTTTTAACTTACCTACTTCGAATTGACACCTCATTTAACGAATAGTCTTTTCAGTCGAAGTTATTTTCACGATATAAATCCACCCATTTTAGCTTCTATAATGATGAATAATTTCTTATAACATTTTAGTGATTTATTTATATTTACATGACATGGACGTGGTTTATATAATTATCTAGTACTTAGGTGAAGTATTAAATTGTAATTTGACGGTATTGAATCCCATGTTAGATATTATTTTGATGGCTAGACCGTTACGTACACATTACAATTCGTACCAAACTTTATTCACATGGTCATCTCCATCTCAGACATCTCGCACCTTTGTGACGATTTTCTTTAGCTTTTATGGTCGTATTTTTACGACTTTTACACTTTTAGTAGTGAGCGCATTTCTATTTAACTCGTCGAGTACCGGTTTTGTAGACACAATTATAGAACAATAGGTTGCGGTCACCGGTGACCGCTTGGTATTTGACAGTTTAAGCAGAGGAACCTAGTACCTTAAGTTATTTAAAGTTATCTAGTACACTCTTAATTCTAGTTCCAACATCCGTAAACAAGTTTCTAATATCCTGAAGGGAGATTATGATAAGCAGATAGTCACAGTGTACTACAAATAGTACACCTAGGTTTTAAACCGTTAACAACACATTAGTTATACATTATTTAAAAAATAAGACAATTAAAATGAATGTTCAATTCTACTTATGTTGAGTGACTTAGGACTTGTAACATAGAAATAATAGCGATGTTAATAGGGGTTTTACCTACGATACTGTTAGTTTACGGCTAGGTAAGCTAACTTATTGTGACAGAGTGGCGTGAAAAGTGCAAGAATCTGTAATGCAAGTGCTACTAAAATAAAATAATCGAATGTTCTGAGAGATCATCATAAAAGACTAATTTAGAAATGTAACAACAATACTTTTATTAAAGTTTTTCACTGCTGACCATTGTCAGCAGTGAAAAACCATTGTTTAACCTTCAGTATTTATTAGAAAAATAGAGACTCCTAAGTATCTAGACGCCATCTGATACTAATAATCAAACTGGCGAAGTATAGCGTATCAAATATTTTTTATTCCACTCATCTCTAATGAGTAATAGTTGGCGTAGGTCCAGCGAATGTATTATCGTTGCAATTATAAATGTTTATACTAGAATGATATCGAGCATGACGTAAGAAACGCTCCGTGCAATGTACGTCTACGTACAATAAGAGTAGCATAACTTATAGACTTTTTATCTATGGGTATAATTCCCATACGTAAGCCAAAAGCTACAGTGGCGCCACTCGGAAAAAGTATCAAAATAGTTTTATGCGTCCCAGGCATCAATATACAAAGGGACTTACTAACTGTTACCTATATCTTTATAAGACTATCCCCAGACTCAACAAGCCCTCTTGAATATGTCTAAAAAAATTGCCTGCTATGTTTATTTATGAACCTTTTCCCGTATTAAAAGTACATTCTCGTTTTAATTATTATTGCTGTTTAGGGATTGCTCTACATCAAAGACATTTACGATCTTTTTAATGAATATTTGTAACTGAAAACTTTATACGATTTGTTTTATGAACGTTGTTTATGAAACATTGTTACAGCAGAACAGGCACAGTTCCCCATATCGAGTACTCGGTTAATTTAAATTGAATCGATATTTTTTCAAAGTTATCGCGATTATAATGCGGAATGTTCATACGGTGTCATCAACCTTTCCATGATTCATACCAAACAACTATAAGTGGATAGTTATCGATATATTTTTATCGATATGTGGTCAGCTAGATAAGTAACTATCACTGGTATTCATTTCTTATGGCTCCCGTTGTAATTAGTAATAAATATTTACTAAGTCTCGCGTAACATGAATCAGGGTTTGTGCACATTGATCATAAAATAAAGGATGCTAGAAGTAATTCATACTTTGTTTACGTTAGTAGAGTACTAACCTGACCGTTTGTGGTGATATAAAATTAACCTAAACACGTGTGGGATTTCTTAACTCGACGGTTAGGAGTATAATTATAATTTGTTTTGTCTAGTATGCTTGTAAACGGAATTTCGAAGTACAAGTTCACATTTTAGTGAAAACTAGCTATACTGTGCAATAAAGGGACCCCCTTTATTAACATAGCGATATAAATGATAGCATAGCAATCCATTGACGGGATTTTTAATTAATCTGCGTGTAGTAATGTAGACGCACCCCATGCAATGTTACCGCCAGTTGATAATGGCGTGTGGTTTTATTAAATGCATAAACTACTGTTATATCAACGGGTAACTTGTTTGCCTGGTTCCGCTGTGTTAACAGGAAAGGGATAACGTTTATATTGTACATTTTTATATTAAGTAGGTTCGTACCTACGATTCTTTATATAGTTCATTGTGTGAGCAAATAATACGTTTATTTCGATAATATCACAGGTTTTTTGTGTTAGAGTAGGATAAAGATTATTTCCCTAGAATTTGTTTTCTGAGAACATTAGACGTTTATTATTATTGGGTTCAATAGTTAGAGTAAGAAGATTGCTCCGTAGTTCAGGCAGGTGAATGAAACCGAACGGATTACCACCTGACCTGTTCCCAAGGCCACAATCCCTCCTACATAATTCAGTGTTTACGATAGATACTATCGACATTCTGTACTGTTAACTACTTCGTGACATTGTCGCATAAATAATATATTAGCTGAAAATAATAACATAGCAATATAAGTAAAAAACTATTATACTTTTATTAATGTCTTTATTTTTTAATGCACATCATAATTCTTAATGTTCTTAATTTTTTAAGTTTTGTAACTGAAATAAGCACGAAGTACTTATAAGGGTTCGTACACAAAACTACGATGCGATGCGAATTCGCAACGCAAAAAATTACGATGCGAATTGGTGCGATGCGATTTCGATTTTTAGGGAGACGCCTTGTCGCACGTAATCGCATCGCATCGCATCGCAGTTTTGTGTACGAACCCTAAGTCAACAAATTCACCAATTTACTATTGTTAGCTGATTGTGATACTTTTAAGTTTTGGTTGTTACGTGATACGTAACGATACACTCCATTTATACAATTATTTCTTGTACAATGTTTACGATACCACGATCGAAACACTCGAAGAAGAACATTCATTGAACATAATAACTTTACGATTTTTATATTAACAGTTATAAACGTGTACTTTGACGTCATCGAACCAGACGATATCATGAGGAAATCATCAACTCTCTTTCGTAAAAATAATTTCTTAGGTTCACATTTACCTATTTTTTTTATTCTATACTAACTTTGATCAAGTGGGTTAGTTGCATTGACTGAGATAAAGAAGTAGCGTATTTGTCACCGCAGATTTCAATACCAGTTTAAACTGACTAACGAATATCCATAAAACCTTTCACCTCTATAATATTAGAAGTATAGCTTTTGGTTTTGAACACTAAATGACAAGGTGAACTTCGTAAATCCGCTCCGTACATGACATTTTAGCTTCAAAAACAATGCTGTTAATATTCAACTCGCGATCAGAAACGAGGCCATAGCGCATTCACTAATAAATTGAATAAAATCTTAGATGAAGTGATGAGCATGTTCGTGATTGGATCTAATTGTTAAACAACGTCATGTGGTATAGTTGGTACCAATGTGACTTAATATTGTGTTATCTATCGTAGTCAATATTTCGGCAACCAGATAAGTTTTATTAAAATCTCCATCATCGTCGTCATTATCAGTCAGTAGATGTCTAGTGTCTACTGATGGATAAAGGGTTATCCCTTTCTCCAATTGTTTGTTATTAAATATTATTAAATTCGCTGTCTAAGAAGTGGTCAACTTTCATTCAAATATAACACATTATACTTCGTAGTCCTGAAGTATCCATCTTTTTGACATGTATTCCGATAGGTTTACCTGCTTGTGCATGGAATATTTTAAGTAAGAATAGGATCATAAGTATCTGATCTGTTTATTTTATGTTATTTAATTTAGATGACTTTGCCGTATCAAAATGATTGCGAATTCTCAAAGAGCTCTTAACTTTAAAATGTTATTGATAGTGTCTTGCGCTGCACGTTGCACTTTGAAAATATGATATTGCATAGTTTGGCATGCATGCTCTTTTAGGTAGATTTACTGTTAGATTTTAGAAAGCTTTGTTAATATCTGCTCTTTTGTATATCACAGAATACATACATTATATAATATATCTATTATTATCTATACATACACATTTATTTTCATACTTATACCTACAAGCTACAACTAACTCACGAAACTTCACAGATTTGCTTGCTCCAAATTCAAAATTTAATAGAAATTGTATTATTTGAATGGCTTTTTCAGATATGTTCGTTAGCAAAGCAACTCGACATGACAGAGAGGCAGGTGGAACGATGGTGGAGATTAAGAAGAAGCCAGGATAAACCATCCACCCTGGTGAAGTTCTGCGAGAACATGTGGAGGTTCACATTTTACTTGTACAACTTCTCCTACGGTCTCTTTATATTATGGGAGAAGGAGTGGCTTTGGGATATCGATCAGTGTTATATAGGATATCCACACCAGGTTAGTAAGGATACTCTAATAAACTTTTTGGTGATTGCATAAAATATCATCATAAGATGGTCTTTTAAAAAAGAAAAAAAAACAGGATACAAAATATTAAGTGCCATTTGGTACCGTGAATCCCCTTGGAGTTTAGGGTTTCTATGCAGTGCTGGATACAGGCCTCTCCAATAACACAGTACATCACTGAGCTAGCTTATTAGCTCTTCGTATTTAATCTCTGGTTTGCGAACCAGGTGAGCATTTTGATAATCTCCTGTGGGTAATAGAATTTAGGAATAATACTATCAAGTTCAAAATTAGACTCCAATTAGGGCCATTCAAACCAGCAACGTCTTATATCCTATACATCTTAAACGTGTAACCAATTCTTTTTAGAACTATTCTCCTTCAAATAGCCCATCTCATATAGTACAGATTGTCAGTAATTATCGCTTCAATGCAACGTAACTCGGGTGGCTCGGAGCTTGAATAGCGCAGCACGAGTAGTACTAATGGATGACGAATATCAATTATGTAATATTTAACGAGTGTATGCTAGATACTTGAGAGAGAGGTGTGCCTGCCTAGTATTTCGACATTCTTAGTGTAACACACGTAAATGGAAGAATCACGATTGTTTCTCAAAAGGTTGAAGTGGGCTATAGTTTTCATCACCTGCTGCACCTTCCGCGGGGGTCGTAAGAGCTAACTAATGGGCTGCACATTTGACAGAAACAGGGAAACAGCTTGATAAATCTAACCGTTTGAAATTGTGATCTTCAAGCCGCTAGGTTCCGCGATAATCCCAGTTTCTTCCGAGGAGACCCGTAGCCCTGAAGACTTTTTGCATATCTTTCGTTGAAATAGGTTTTTTACATTTAGATAATCCAAAAATATTTCTTCGTTATCTCCTTCATACGGAATGTCGTCTCACGATGCCTATGCCTACAAAAACAATCGATTTGTAGATTAACAGTTTAGTTAGGTTAGTAACTAAGTTTCCCTGTAATAGACAATGCTCATCAGACCATGGTTATCAACAGGTGCAAGTTATCGTTCAGATATACACAATCTGCTTAGGTATTACACGCGAAAAATCATTTATCACATATAATAAATATTTACAAACAATGTGCGATTTATTTACCTAATATAATTATGTAATTGTTTTTGAGTAGGCACCTACTAATACTTAATAATTATGCCTTTCAGTAAGAACTTTACGCAAGGCTGTTCCATCGTTTAAAAACTTTTCTCTAAGACTGAATTCACAATTCAAACGCGGTTATACTTTTGCATACAAGTCCCTCAGGATCGTATTAAATGCCGTACAAATATTTGTTTTATGGGCGAATCGAACACGCGATACGTTGCGCAGCAACCGATTATACTGACAACCGAACAAAGTGTTGTCCTGACCTGAAATAAAACCAGAATACATTGCAACTATAAATAAGCATGATAGGTGTTCCTTAATTTGAGTGCTTTTAGTCCTTTTTATTACGGCATCAATTTTGTCGGTCATCCGTAAATATGTTAAATCCATCTTATCATTCTTCTCAAGCTTCCTTAGTTATGGAACGTAAACTATTACTGTTAACTTGAACGCCATAATGGAATAATTAATACCCCTGAGAGTAATGCGACAGCGGAAACCTTTTCGCGCCGTTGTGTGCCTGTCTATGGTTGACCAATAGATCTTTTCGGCCTAACGGGTAATTTAGGAAACTAAGGTGTTTAGAATTTTAGACGACAATGCAAATCGTTGGACATTAACATTATTCTGAAAGAACAAAAAAGAATAAAATTTTATAAGTACTTCTTTACTACATAACATTTCTTTGCTAGTTTTCGGTTAAAACGGCAATTGGCACCTCTATTTCATAACACTTACTCTCTTACTCACATTTATTTTCCTATCAATTTCAGGGCCTCACCAACGACATCTGGTGGTACTACATGATATCAGCAGCGTTTTATTGGGCGCTGACATTCTCCCAGTTCTGGGACGTGCGTCGCAAGGACTTCTGGCAGATGTTCGTGCATCACATCGCCACCATCCTACTGCTGTCCTTCAGCTGGGTCTGCAACCTGCACAGGATCGGGACACTCGTGCTCTTAGTCCATGACTGTGCTGATATATTCTTGGATGCAGCGAAGGCGGCAAAATACGCCAATTATCAACGATTGTGTGACAGTATCTTTGCTGGTTTCACTGTATTATGGATCGTTTCAAGACTCGTTGTTTATCCGTTCTACATTATTTGGAGGTGAGTGTATCTCTTTATCATTTTAAAAGTTTTTGCATACATTAAAGTTAATTAATATTGTCATTGTGTCTTACGAAAGTGTTTTTAGATTAATGAAATAATTTAAATGTTATACGATATTATACTTGTTCTAACCATTAATTAATATTAATTAAGACGATATTAACAGTCTTTTATCATTAGGACGAATTGCCTTTAAAATCACCTATCCTTGGAAAAAAACTAGTATTATCTTACTTTGTGTATATAATGCCATATAATAGTATTATACAATATGACGCATTTTAAAATTGTATACGCCATTGAATAACCGGGACAAACTTAACCAAAAACCGGAGCAGCGAAAAACGTAACAGTTTGCCGGGGCTCCGGTTCGAAGTGCAGGAGTAGAAACTGGGTGGTTTTTAGTCAGTAAGAGTCTGACACTCACTCTCGCCTTACCCGACGGGAGAAGTTATTCAATGATTTTCCCCTTAAGAAAAACTAAAAAATTTATAGACCCACGTTGGGCGCCAATAAAGACTGACTTGAAATTGACTACAATTTTGTTCATCACATATCTGAACTAGTTCAATGTTAAGGGACAATGAGATTTAATATTAAATAATTAAAACAATTTATAGCTGACCAGTTTCATTTATTGTTTTTTCCAGTACATCAATCCGCGCGCCCATGTTGCTCCCGATGTTCCCGGCCTACTACATCTTTAATTCGTTGCTGTGTCTACTATTAGGTTTACATATGGTCTGGACCTGGCTTATATTGCAGGTCGCCTATAAGGCTATTAGTGCTGGCCAGGTAAGTTATAGTAGTTTTTCTAAAATATCTTATATCTTTTGCCTTCCCTCGTTAGAATATAGAATTTTAACTACATAATCCAATACTTCCCCTTAAATATATTTTTGAAAAAGTACCTAACTAAATATATCTACAGTAGTTTAGATATGAAACCTTAACAAACAATCTCATTGTTGTCGTATGTATTATTATATTTCAGCGTTCATGTAAGTACCTCTTACATTTTCAGAGATTGTTATTATTAAAGCCATCATATTCTGTGATACGAAGGCAATTCTTTTGTTAACCACCAGATACGATTTGAAACTTTACAAACGTTGAATTATTATTTCGAATATTTACCTACTTTGTCCTGCATCAGCCATTACGACTACTATCAATAAAATTATTGGTTCAATTTCTAGATGGAAGGTGATATCAGGAGTTCAAGTTCAGAAATAAGCGATAGTTCACACCAATCGAACCACAGCACGCCGAATCGTGTCAATAATAAAAAGTAAGTTGACAAAGTTTTTACCGCACTACAATTGCAGTATTTTTTTTGTCGATCATCAAATTATATTTAGTAATGGCACAGAAGTCAAAAATGTTCAGTGCTATTTCGACTTTATTGTAAAGCAATAGAGTTGACAAAGGAATTAGTAAGATTGAGATAGCTTGATTTAGTAGTGTCTAAACAAAAATAATTAGGCGGAGAATGCAGAAATACGTAATGCGTCTTCGTCTTCGTCGTCGTTGAAGAAATATGTTATATACTCCGTACCACGAAGTAATAAACAAATGGAATGCTAACTCGCACATTGTTCCCCAGAATCAGACTCGTGAGATATACGCGAACTGCAGGAGGGACTCTCATTCGACGACCACCAACGTCTTAGGGAAAGGTCTCGAAACCCGGTGCTAACCGGCAAGTGAAATAAAAAACGTTAGTGAGGTTCCCTGGACAAAAGTTACTGCCCTCTACCTGCATGACGCTATTCTAACGGCTATGACCCCGTGTGGATATTCTCATTGGTCGCATTATAATCGGCTAATAACCTCGATTCGATTTTTATTATAATTCTTATCATCGGTGAAGGCTTTGCTCTACAAACTTGCTTGCAGCAGGTTTCTTACGATTCCAGGTGTTGAATTTTAGTTTTTCAGTCATCATTCTAATTATTTTGATCCCATTCTTTTCATATATCACTCCGGTAAAATGCAAGGTTTGTGCGAGCTTTGCGTTTGAATTTTGAACCCTATTTTTTATTAATTATAACAGACTTTAGCATGAGTTTTCTACGAAGGTGGCGGTGTGATGCCGATGCTTTTATAAAGATTACTATTACCAGGGGACATTGACAGACTTGTAGAAAAATCATCATTGTCATCACTCCACTAATGAATTATCTACTCTGTGACATAACCTCTAACCTTGGCTAAGTTGAGTATTTTTAATCGTTAATGTAATAGAAAACGAAATCAGTGTATAGAGATTTGTTATGGCTTTCGATAAGTCACGTGGTCAACTTAAACGAATCTCCGTACGTTTTATTTCGTTTTCTACGGTTTTAAAACACGTTATATTCAACTTGGCTAATGGAACTATCCATTTCAAAATACTAACATTAATATTATGTCTTTGCAGAGAGACATAGGGTCAGGCCGACCGTCCAGGCGTTCTGCTCAGCGTCCGTGGCGCCACCTGGCGGCCACAAACATGGCTACATCAATCACTCCACGTTACGAGGTTGTAACTAGTATATCATTAATATTACAGGGGGCCACATTTATACTTTGTATTTATAATTAATGGTGCCTTTTCTATTTAATTTTACGTCATCATCAGATCGGACACGTCCACTAAAGAAAAAAAGCTTCTTTCTAAGGAGGGTTGCAATATCTCTCGGAATGATTGGCAAGCTAGGGGAAATATTAGAAGATGCTACTTCCCACAGCAATGTTTCAAGCAAGTTTTGTATTATGCACAAATATTGTTTTATATATTCTTTCTGTTTGTTACGTAAAGTATGGTAGACCTGCGTTATGAAAGCTGGGATGATTCAGAATAATTTAATACTTAATAGTCGTTGTTGGCTGCACAAAACCTCAACCTTACAGAATTCAAACTCAAACTTACTTAACCTTCAAGTACTGACGTGGTTTACTCATACCATAAACGGTGACGTGACGTATGTCAAACACCATAATAATTAATCGAAATGGATTACTTGTATTTACTGATTTGCACAATATTTACTTGTATTCTGATCGGTCCATTATAATTCTATTAAGGAAGTGCAAAAAATACAACGTTCTCGGATGAAATCAGCGGTTTCTGATTCAAATTCTATAAACTTAAAATATAAATATTTCGCATAACTTAAAAAAATATATGTTAAAATCTTAGCTACAATACAATTATTTGGACGTTTTTTTGGAAAAATGTTATATTCGTGAACACGCCGTCTATGAGACACCCACGTCAGTAGTTAAAGGTTAAAATATTTCTCAGTAATGTGGCCCCAAAATGTTCGTCCTATTATGTTATTCATTCATTCACGAATGAACGAAACGAGCTATATGTAAGTCCGTATTTATAATGAACACGTGAGATTTATAAGTATTGATAAACGTAAATATTTTCTAGCTAAGGAAGCTATCATGATTGTCGATAACGACTCTATATCGATACTTTTTATTTTATTTTTAAGCCCACAATATTCGATATTCCTTTATCGATAAATATGATGGCATCCCTATGCAGAAGAACAAATCGTGTATATTAGGAATCTGGTTTTAATTTATATATTTTATTTTTTTCGTCATGATGGTACATAAAAGTTAAGTACATAATCAACTTAAGATTCCTAATAAACGCAAATAATTTATTGCTTACGCTATTTACAGAATGATTATCCGAAAATAGTAATTATATTTAATTATTATTAAATAAGCAATACCAAACATTAAAAATGCTTTAATAGTCGAACAAATTACAAAAGTGACATTAAAATTTTGACTCCATGTTGTGAATTGAAAAAGTAAGTTTGTATAAAAAAAATGTGAATTGTTCTTGCGTAATTAAGTTACCAAGAAAGCAATACAATGATGATTAATTAAAAATATAATATTAAAAAAACATACCAAAAATGCGACCCACAACGGTGCTGAGAACGTTAAGCATTAGATTAAAAATGTAAGCATTTATTTTGTATTAGCTTAAGCGCTTTATACGTACTTATTCGTGGTAAGTGAAAAAGTATACTTCGCGATACGATAATATTTTTTTTATTTATCTAGGGTGATATTCAGTATCAGATATTTATTTTTAAATATCTGTCTTGCAAAACTAAATTACAATGTCCCTATGTTATCTATGGATATGGATGAGTTTAAATTAAAAAATGCCGGTATAAACCCTAGAACTTCGTGTGAACGGTCTAAATGTATGAGAAATTTATTTTCTTGTTGTATTATTATTTTAAGCTAATATTATTCTCGTGCTTATGCTCGTGTTCCTTTTAATAATTGCATTGAAAAACACACCTTAATATCAATGTAATTAGGTGTTATATTCTTTGTTGCCATTCTGAAAGTCACAATCCTTCTAATTAGTATCTAAAATCGATTGGTACTATTAGGTTCTTCGTGTAACTGCGCTTCGCAAGCAAAAAGGTGATTAAAAATAAATAATTGTTAAGCTAGTATAAACTTACACGTATTAACAATAAGGTACATTATTTATTGGGGGACCATGCAGTTGGATCATATTGATTTATCGATATTTTGTATACGTTGCGTAAATTATCATTATCAATATTAGTCTAATGACCCGTAGGGTAGGTGAAATTACTTCCTAACTTTCCTAATTTTTTCAAAAAACATTCGTAAAATATTAATATATAAAATCAGACACTAGTCTGATGCTATTTATTCAAATAAATCATACATTATTGTTGTTAATGACGTTCCCCTATTAAAATTATATTAGTAAAATTGCAATTGTGTATTACATGGGTTGTATAAATAGGACTACTTTAGACCTTATGTGCAGTGTGATATTTCATAGTTGAAACTCACAAAAATATTTACAGTCAAACCAACTTACAAATAATAAATTATCTATATAAATAAAAAAGAACTTTCGTTCGTTACTCTCGGTAAAACTTGAGAATGGCTGAACCGATTTGGCAAATTTTAGCCTTGAAATGTTCGTGGTTTAAAAGATGAGAAGGTTTAAAAGCTGAGAAAAAGATGAAGATTCAGGCGGTACAAATTTTGCTAGGTCAGCTAGTTATATTTATAAACCACATGTAATATACTATTCCCTTAGATAGGATAGTGTAATAAAATTTATTATTATAAAAATAATTAGTGCCTAAATACACGCGCGCGTAACATGTCTTATTGAAATTCCAAAAATAGGTATAAAGTAATAATAATATGCATTGATAGATGCTTTAGAAGTCTAGGCGGTGAGGCTTGGGACATAAAATTAAAATCATGATATCAAAAGAGCTGGTTAATTAACATTTTGATTTAAAAATGTCTACAAAATGTTATTGTTTCATTAGAATATTTTATGACTGATTAAACTTCAAATTATTTTTATATCAAATCAGATGAACAAAAGTGTTTTTTTTTATAATTTATTATATTTTAACAGCCTGAAAAATAGGTGTAATAAATGTTATATATCGTCCTTACACTATATTGGTAAAACACGCGAATCCCTCTGCTCTGTATTGTCAGAATGAGCATATTATTATGAGCAAATTAACAAATATTTTAAGATTCCTAGCATTTTAGATTCGCCTTATCACGCACTTAAGTGTCACAAATCAATGTAAATAAGTAAGTGCAAATAGTTTGTTGTTAGATACAAAATATTAATTACAATTTATATTCAAGTTCAGTATAAAATACCATAATATTAATGAATGAATCAATGCAAGTATTGAGAATTATTGAAGAGTTTCTTAAATCAATTCGATGATCGCAGATGTTATATTTCCACCCGTTCCTATATTTCACAAACTCGAAAGCTTCAGATGCTTTGCGACGACCAAGATATTCAACTAAAAACTAATAAATTGTGCTTTTGTAAGATATTGGCATACAAGAATATCAAAAAAATTAATTATCTAGTAGTACAATTTTAACTAAACTTTTTCCCGCCGATACCGCTATTGTCGTCTGGTGTTATCTAATTTAATAATATAATATAAATAACGAACAAAATATAAACCATATCATTTGACATAATGTACATTTATTATTGCACATTTGTTAGATAGTTGAATAGTGATATCGATTTATTATTTAGTGGAATGTCGAGTGACTCCGATTAATAGTTTTTAGTCGATTAATCGATATTCGAACACCACTAATGTTAAGTAAACTATGTAAAGTAACAATCGATACTATCGAATACACCCAAAGACGCTTTATGAAGCTTAAAAATAAATAAATAAAAAAATTGAATAGTGTATAAGAATATTTATATTATTTACAATCGTAATCAAGGCGTTTATAATATTATTTAATTTTATAACTATGTTATTTTTGTTTTGATATTTAAAAGAATTGTTCGTTATATGCATGATGGCAGAATTTACAATAGTTTTTGCATTTTACGTGCATTGAAGCTAATCTTTAGTATAGATTCATTGTTGCGTTTTTAAAAATCGTTTTATGATGCTCTGCGAAATGATTGTGAAAAAAATAATAAATTTTACAATATAAAAAGGTACTCCTTTTTTCTAACCTACCAATTACGGTTTATATTTTCCAATTTATCCTTTGTTAAATCTATTATTTTTTATATGGACATTTTATTTGAAAATTAAAAAAAAATTGTCGCAGCCAAGGCAACACCGTGGTGTTAATTTACAATTTTGTATTATACAATAAATTTATTTTTATGTGTATGTAAGTGTTATTGTAGTTTTATATATAAGCATTATGTTCCAAAAAGTCTTCGATCAACAATAACAACTAGATATCGGGTCGGCGCAAGAAAATCGTCTCGACAAATAAGAGCTCACTTGAGAAGTGAGCTCTTATTTTGTTTAGTTCGCTCCAAACACGGCCAACGTGCTCACGTCTCATGATGCCGCAGTACGTAATTGCAATTTGCAAAAATAATAACCGAAAAAGCACTATAACGGCCGGAGTGTCTTACTTACGATATGTCCATAAAGTATACGTTATATTTTAAGCTTTTAAACTAGTAAATAATATCAAATTAGACAAAATTACCGATTATAAAACAACACCACCAATGTTTGTGCGTATGTTAGCGACACCTTGGCCAAGCATCGCCAACACGCGCACAAACATTTGTTTAAACAGAACAGCGGATGCATGGAGTCGATTTGTATTGTAAAATAAAATTGTATTGTAACCTGATTGGAAAAGAGTACCTAACCTATGGCGTTTCTTGCTCGTTCCTCTCCATAGGAATCTACACCTTGGAATGAGCAATAGTTCACTTTTAAATTTATATTATTGACGTTCAAAAGTGCCTTCCTGGTCTAACTGAAATAAATGATTTTGACTTATAGTCAGAATTTTAATTAGATTCCAGATTTGACAATAGCTACCGTCATTTTGTGAAATAATGGTACCACATATTATAATAGTGTCGTGATGAACACAAAAATCGATAAACAATCAGTGTGTGTGTTTTATAATAAATGTTACAGAAAGTGACAGCGATAGCGATAGTGATGACGGCGACAATTTATAAAATAACTTATTACCATAATACATCTATCTATTTTATTTGTCATGTTTCTTCATGATTACATTTTTATATTTATTTCACACACAATTAGAAAAAAAAAGTTCAGATCGTTAATTAACCGTCAAAACTAAATTATTGGTTCAAAAATATATTATTTCCTGATATACGTAGTTTACGAGAGTAAAATTATAAACGAGAAGAATCGATCCAGAAATATTGCATTTTCATATCGAATCATTTCGCAACGTCACTATTTAGTACTTGTCATAATGTTGCAACACTGAAATTGTCAAATCTGGAATCGAATTAAAATTCCGAGTATACACTTAAACTTTTAATAATAAAGTAAATAAATATATCATACACAAAAACGTACCGCTAATAAAAATAAGTGGTGTATACTAAGATCCCGAAATATTAATGTTCATAATTTATAAAATTATTTT